TCTCCTTTTATATCTTTAACTTTCAATTTTTATAACTTTAATTCAATTGTACCATCATATTCATCTGTAACTATTCTAAACTTTAAATTGTATTTGTTAGCTGTAGTTTTGTTATGTGAGTAGTAATTGATCAAATTGTAATGTAGGGTGAAAATGACCCAGGTGGTTGAAAATTATAAATAATTTTTATTTATAATTATAAAAATTATAAATTAAAAAAAAAAAAAAAAAAAAAATATATATATATATATATATATATATATATATATATATATATATATATATATATATATATATATATATATATACACAACCATAGTGAAAGAGAGATTAAGGGAGTCTAGAAGTAACAGTATAAATCCAAATAATGAAATAAAAGAATATCTATTTAAGTGCTTTTTGTTAGTGTAAATCTAATAGAGGATAGCAGATCCCATGCAATATAGGAACCACAAAGAGTTCAAAGTCTGTTCTAGAATTTTAAAAACCATTAATGTCTTTTCTTCTTCTTTATTTTCTTTGTTGTAGCAAATTGAAATGCAGGTTGCATGCATTTAATAGTGGCAATTCATCTTCATAAGGCTTATTTTGAACCAAAAAAATGGGATAATTTAAAATTTATACAGTAAGTAGATTTCCAAAATCTCTTCCTCCACCATTAAAAAAATTAAAATAAAGCTGGTTAATTTCAAATTAGAAACTTCTACCTATTAACTACTAGTTAATAATAAAATCTTACCGGAGTAAAAGGGTGCATTAATTATCAAGGTATAGCTAGATAGATAGATAAAAAAATAACTGTATTCTGAGACGAAGTCTCTTAAGAATAACAGTTTTACAGAAAAACAAGAATAACAACTAACCAGAAAAACTGTTACATTAAAAAAATTAACGTATATAATGCAGTTATTTAATTATGAGATGAAAAATATAAGGTCAAGGCTAGAAACTTCTTTATGCTAAACCTTGACTCTATGGAATAAAAGTCGGATACTAAAACATTGAGTATATTGAAAGAAACAAAAACTTTTGCTTATCAAAAAGTATAGGAATATACGGTTTCTAGGAAGAATTGCCTGTATCAAACGTTCTTACATTGTAACGTTTTAAGTAGTCTGGGTTACCTATGCAGAATGGAAAAAGAGGAATTCGATATAAATCAATAATACCCTGTAGTCGAGATATTAAATAATTCAACATATAATAAGATTAAGGAATTATTTTCTATTTTTCTTTAATTTTAATTGACTATTGAATAGAAAATCATTATAAAAATTCATTCATGTTTTAAACCAAAATTTTCACGAATTGCAATAATCAGTATCACAGCTAATAACAGTCCAAATTCTATGACAATTTTCTATTCTATTTTCAAATTCTATTGTTGGGAATTTAGTGTTATTTTAAATAATCATTGGTACAAAAAAATTTATACATTCATAATAATCCAAGGGTGGACCCTAAGTTACAATTTTCGAGGTTCAAAATATATTTGAACCTCGAAAATTGTAGCTTAATTTTCAAGCTACAAAATATATTTGTATTGTTCAAATATATTTGAACCCACCTTGCTCCTTCGGTTGGTACAAATTGTTGAAATGTGCAAATTTCTAATTAATTTCGATGATTTTTTTTTTGTTTTGTTTTATAGGAAATTTAGTTCTATTCTCTGGGAATTAAATTCTGCACAAGCCTACAGATAATATTTTCGTATTTGAAAAGGATGGTTAGATATTCCGATAGACACAGATTTTATGATTTTTTATTGCGTTTTGCTTTAGTAAAATGTAGATTCAAACTAATTAATGTTGAATTGCTGTAAATATGTTTTTTCCTATTCCCTATGTCTTCAAAATATTCGCCTTTTAGGTACTAATATTTAAAATATTTCATGTTTTGTTTATCTTTCATTCTTGGTTACATAAATTTCATTGGTGTACCGGTTGCAGGTGATACGTATTGTGTGATAAAAAATCACAATTTTATTAAAAATCATCGAATTCATCATTTTTTTTTTCATAATTAATGCAAAAGGACTTCCAATTTCCTTCAAATCTCTTTATTCACATTTATCACCTCTAACGTTTCGGAACAGTAATGATATTAAGATAGCCAGATGTAGGTTAGTGTAACAATGAATATAAAAAAAAAAGACTAAATAAATATATAGTGAACGTGACAAATATTTAAATTTTTGACAAATGGTGCCACACCAAAATAGCAAGTTTCAGTGAATATAAGGATTGCCGTGGTGATGGGAAAATTGTCCCAAAACGTTAGAGGTGATAAATGTGAATAAAGAGATTTGAAGGAAATTGGAAGTTCTTTTGCCTTAATTATGAAATAATATATAAACGTAGGCTTACTAAAAAAAGACAAATAAGAAGATATTATTTTTTTGCTAAACTATACAGCCACAATTATAGTCATGTTAATTATAATATTTTTACGATATGGACTTACTCTGTTATTTATTTTATTTTTATTTTTTTCATATTTGTTGACTTATTTTATTATTATTTTACTAAAAACTATTGACTATACTTTGTCATAATTTACATAACATTAATAGACCAGTTTAGAACTTCAATGGATATCTTGTGCCAAAAAAATAATTAATACAAAATAAATGATTTTTTTACAATAAATTATTGCAATTTTCATGTGGTATAATACATTTCTTAGAACAAGTTACACTATGGTTTGCCATCAAATTAATACACTAGTTTAGGATTTCAATGTAAGTCTTGGCTTAAGAAAAAAAAAATATAAATAAAAATAAATCATATACAATAGATATTTTTTTGAAGTTTTGTTTTAGATTTGTTAATAATATTGGAATCTGTCTCAGTCAAGAACAATGGTAATAGTAATCAACGATTATATCTATATCACATTTACAAAAAACCTAAATAAAACTATATCTGTATAATAAATAAAAATGAGAGCAAAATACAAAAATAAAATAAAAAATAAATAAGAAAGAAAATAAGAATTTAAGTTAACTAAAGATCTAAAATACAGGCATACTTCTGTATAAAATATTTACAATCAACTAGAAAACACCGAACCACGTTTGTCCTCCCACCTGTGTAGAAACATTTAGGACTCCAGAAGATCTCCACCGACATTAAAGGCTTATGGGGCCAATAACTAAATAAGTAAGAGTTGTCAGATTTCTCTATGTATAATTTCCTCGTTTTCCCATACTTCTTTTACATTTTCTGTATGATAACAAAAGCCTTAGAACCATTGACTTAGAGGATAAACTAAACATTGAAGGATGACTCCAATGAATGATATCCTGAGAACCATAGACTGTGGAGTATGGTAGGTGTAGGTTGGCACCGAACACTGGAATATATCATTCCAAAGACCTGGAACCGTTCCAGATCTGTACACTACAGGGGTACACTCCATACCAACTCTCTGGGGGTTATGTAGTACTGAAACCTAACTCGCTATTTGTTGTACATTTAAATAAATCAGGTATGTGCTATGAATTTATTATTCGTTGTAAATGACTTATTATGTATTTGTCAAGCATTGTTAAAAAATGAACAAAAAGAATAAACTTGATAATCGCTACATTTCCTGAAAAAAAAGAATTTATATTATCTGTTTATTTATGCAGATATCAACATAAAATAAGCAAACAGCTTGTTGAAATATACGTAAATCCTTATAGGGGTTTATATCGCCTAACGCCAGACCTGACTTTATAAACGTGTAAGATGAATTTTTAAGCGGTTCAAAAGTAAAATACCTTGTCCAGTTGTTATAGTGATGTTTCGAAATTTGATTGTTCTCAGAACTATGTTGTTCGTTGAAAAAAAAAAAAAAGTTTACATAAAATTTATTTATAAATCAATAGCACACTAAAATAACAAACAATATATTAAGTTTAAAGGAAACATAAAATTTCAGTTATTAAAATTAAAAACTTTACTTAAAATTGATATTTTAATCCTTGATGATAATCCTTAAAATTCACATTCAACCATTATATGAACAGTGAACAACACTGAACTAGTTTTAATAAATAAATATTTAAATTAAGCCAATATTAATAAATATTTTCACTCTGTTATTTATTGTGAAATTCAGTTTTTGTTATGGAAAACATCTGCGGTAAAAAAATATCAAAATTTGTCTCAATATTGTCGATCAGAAATATTTTTTTATTCCAAACTTTACTGGAGAAGAAAAAGAGAATAACAGTTTATTGCTGAAATTCATGAAAAATATAAATATAAAATAGTTGGAAGTCAAAGTGTTTCTGACATTTAATTAAAAGTGCGGTTTCACATTCAGGCCGACATTATTAAAGTAAGTTGTATATGTATAAATTTATTTATTTCTTTTTAAAATTTTATTTTATAAAATTATTAAATTTTCTATACTGCCGTATAGAAAAAAAAATTAGGAAAAATGGAAGTTTATAATAATCCAAAATCGATAGGTACTTTTAAATTTAGGTTTCACATTGAGACGGCCATCATTCATATAAGTTGTGTATGAGTTTCTTTTTTTCTTTTCTTTTTTTTTTTTTTTGTATTTAAGTATTTAATATTACGAATGAAAATAATGTTCAACTATATAAATATTTTTATTTTATTAATCTAACTAATTCAGGGCTTGTTCCACTAGATCGGAAAATCATAATTAATTTTTTTTTTTATTATAAAGAGTTATTTATTTTGTAAAGTGATATTGTAGTAATTGGAAATTACATATTAGGATCTTGTATATGTGACTACAGATTCGAGCAAATGGAGCGTATATTGAGCTAATAGAATATCGAATTTATCTGGTTGAAAAAAAGAGTCTCTCTTTATAGAGCAACCATCCACGATGTATGCGAGCTTTTAATTAAATCGGAATTAATTCAGAATCAAATGCCATAGCTTATCTCTCTTTTCGCTTTTAGCCAAAGCACCTGTGAAATGTTCTAGACGTTGGCATTTAATTAGTTTTAGAGCTCGCCTCCCTATCTGCGGATGGATCACAGGCTTCCATCCGGCGTACTTATTCAAATACTTTCTAAATTTGTTACGCCATACCCTTTAGCAGAAGTTGCGAGTGAATTGCTAATTGACTACTGGAAGGTAGGGAATCTATCTTCCAAAAGAAAAATCCATATTACTATCGTTATATGCATCGTTACAATTGATACGAGCTTTCTGTTTCACTCTTCTGCCCTACCTCTCCTTACTATAGCTATACGTTATTTTCCTTGCCTAGGAGAGAGGAAGGGGGATTGATGCCTGAATCAATTGCCTCAGGCATCTGGACTCGAACTCGTAATCTTCGGGATTATAAGGTTGCAAAGGCATTTGCCAGCTAAGATCTTTTTTGCTAAATGCAGCAAAGAATTTCTAAACAGAGATAAGAATAGCTGAATGAGGTAAGAATCAAGAAAATATATCTTTACTTTCGCTTACTTATATATGGAATATATAGTAAAAGAAAGTATTCGATCGTTAAAATTTTCGAATTCGAGTTTTCAACAGAAATATACGTTTTGAGGTCCCCTGATTCAAAATAACCAAGTCTTACAAAATGTAGTGTGTGTGCGCGAGTAAGGTATACAGGGTCTGTGTATGCTGGGGACGTAATAACTTTTTGGTTAAAATCTACAAACTAGAAGTGACGCTTTATATTATCGATTTAACACATTTTTATGATATCCTCAAATTTCGCTATAGCTAATTTGATCAAACTCATTATGCTAATGCAAAATTGTGTGTTTTTAATATAGGGTATGTTTTATTCACATTGATGTTCTTCAACAGGGCGTAAATGCCGATTTTTCAAAATGGCTTCCTCTTAAGTTCATTTAATTTTGTTTATTTTCAAAAAACAACAGACCCCAATCTCAGATAATGAATATAGATGGTTAAGTATAAACAGTGAAAAAATTTCATCTTGAACTAAAGGAGAAATAAGAGATGACATCGAGAGATTTTGTGATTATGAGGAGTCGAGAACTGCCGAAGAAATCCGAGCGCACACTCAAGCCTGGTGGACGGGTTCCGATTATATTATTTACTTATAAATGTACGGTTTTCACGAATGCTATTGCTGGTATTATTGAATTTATATTCAATAAAAATAAAAATCTGTATATATTACAGTGTTTAGACAAAAAATATACTCACAATGGAACATAAATGAATATCTGACCTCCTTGCTGACACTCTTTTGTCATTTTAAAAACAAATCGTAGTACTTAAAAATTTATTAGAATTAAATAAATAATTAAAATATATAGTCGTAGAAGGAAATGCCTAGTAACGAAAAACGCATACATTTAATATATTATACGAGAAAAATAATGTTTCAATAATATATAGTACCATCTATGATTTTTACTTTCAGTTGATATCAGCTACATATTATAATAGCAGTATTACTTCATTACGGGCGTTAATGACTTAGATGTTTTGAACCTCAAATGATGAAAAGATCTATTTTTTACTAAAATCAAGGTGGTGAGTGAAAGTTATGTGAAAGCTATTTTTTTTTTTTTGTTGTTCAAACTAACACACCTAGCAAAGGCTATCAAAAAATAAATTAAAAACTTTCAGTTTTTATCTTACTAACCGTGCTATGAATCTTACGACGAAGTTTCGCTTGGTCTAGCCGTTTTCAAGTCTTAAAACAATTTTTCTATTTACAACAGGTTTTTCAAATTGAAAACGACGATTTTAGATTTAGATGCATCTATTAAATTAAATAAAATGTGATATCCTCTTGATCGAATAAAAGTTTAACACTAGTTGATGGAAAAACAATTAAAACTCTAATGAAAAATAAAGTGAATCATGATAAAGTTAAAAAAAAATTAAAAAAACAAGAAGAAGAAACCTCTTTTATTGCACTTTAAACATCCTTTGACATTAACCTCCTTATAAGAAGTTATAAAGTTAGACGATACATGCGAGACAATGCCTTAGTAATATGAGGCTGCCGTAAAACATGGCTTAAATCTTAACTCCCTCGCTTATAGATTTTATGGACCTTGTGAAATGCAACGCCGCTCGTAAATCCGCTAATGTTCGCGGCATTTTATAACCGTTATTTTACAGTACTTGTACATGATGATCCGGCAACACATACATTATATAATGACCATAAGTTTATGAACTAAATTTATACATAATATTGAATTTTATATCACACTCTGAAATGTTTCAGATTACTAGAATGGGTTAATCATCGAATAAACAAAAAAAAAAAAGCAAGATAATGCGATTTTTTTTTTATATTGGCATTACAGAACTTTTAGATCTTTTGTACCTTTATTGATTTGATCTATCCCTCGGATTTTTGGCTTTCCCCGCTGTCTTTTACATACTATTGAATCATTCATTGTTGTGTAGATGCTTCCTAATGGATTGCTCCGAACTACATTCCCCACCTATCTTAACCCCTTGGCTTTCATATCATGAGATTTTGATTGACCAATTTCTATAAGCAGCTCTTTAATGGTTTTTCTCCTCCATGTGGTAATACTCAGATCGCCCAGTTTTGTGCGGAGAATTTCGCTCTCAAATCTCAAGTGCTTCTTTCTAGAGTGCTGGTTAGTGTTCAGGTTTAATAGAACTGACTTCATCATAGCATTATACACTCATAATTTTAGATTTCTTTGAATGTTTAAAGATTTCGATGTCTTTAAAAGAGAGAAGAAAGCTCTGTTTGCGTTTGTTATTTGCTGGTATATTTCCGAGCGATGGTCATTCATTTAGGTTATTGTTGAGCCGAGTGAGGTAGCGCAGTGATAGGGCACCAAGCTTCCTATGCTCAATGTCGCAGGTTCGAATTCCGGCTTATGGCGTATAAATTAGTTATTCTGTTTCATCGGCCGTGGATGTTCCCTAGGTTCGGATACCCTCATGGACCATACCCAGCCTCTATGAAGTGGGTTCTCTGAATTCAATAATTTATTGAGAGGAAATACATGGCGGTTAAGCATGATCTCGGTGAAATCACCTTCTTGCACAAACATTGACCATGAAACAGTACGTGCTGACCCCAAGACTCTTCATGGGTTGAAGTGGCATTTTTTTTATTGTTTAGCCGAGGTATTTGAATTTGTCTATTCTCTTTAATTATTTCACTTCTACGCAGATCCTGTTGTTGGGCCATAATTTTCGGGTTATTATTATATATTTTGTTTTATCTGCTTCTCATATCAACGTCTTAGCAAGTTTCTCAATTTGTTATAGGTAGCTTCCATGGATATTATTTGTATTTTATGATATAACCATCATATATTCAAATCAATACTATAATTTTGTATATTGATGTATGAGTGACCTCATATCAAAGATGGACTTTAGGGAGTAAAAAAAAGTAAATTTTTATTTCGCAGTTTTTTTGTTAAATAAACTGTTTCTGATGATTTCATTCAACAATGTTATAGTTTAATCATGAATAAAATAATTATTCACTCGCCGTATTCACGGAATATAGTCCCTTCCGATATTACTTATTTCGTTCGATAGCACATAATCTCGTTCTTATAAAAATACCTGTTATTTTTAAAAAGATGGTTAGATTCTTGGATAGATTTGAAAAAGCAAGTCGTTTTTACTACATACTTTAAATAAAGCATTGATTTCTACAAAAACAAAAACAAAAAAACCAACGGTGGTAACGTATTCAATATATGCATGTTCGTTTGTGAACTGCATTTTTTGTATTTATTTTCATCATTTAGAAATGTTTCTTGATTGGTAAAAACTTTTCTATACACACAAGGAAGATGTAGTTCACTGATTTGTTTTTTGTATAAAATGATCAAACCTTTCCAAACCGTGAGATTGTAACGTTTTGGTATCGAATGAGGATTACAATGTCTAGATCGAATGTACATCCACTCATTATGAATTCATATGTATTTTAAAATGTATACCTTCCCTACGAGGCGAGCTCAGTTTAGTGAGTTGGCGCTACTCAGTTATGTAAATGCCCTCGCGGAGCAGAACACATCTACATTACGCTAACAGCCCCCTGCCCGGGTTCCGACCGCACTCCCTGGAGATCCCGGTTCGGGGAGTTGAGGTCCACACCTCTGCGTGACCCTGCTCCCGGTTTGGAGTCGTTTGTATTCACGCTCCGTCGACCTAGCTTTGGTTTGGGAGAATCGGTTCTCTGGGGAGTGCAGGAGAAGGTAAGGGAAAACTCCAGTCTGTCCGTAATTTAATTATTGCGATTTGTATTTGTCATTCCTTTTTTTCTGATCTTTTCTATGAAAATTATTGGAAAAATTTTTTAAAAGATCTTGCCATAGCTTATTATATATTGCGGCTAATTTCTTACATATGTACAACCAAATATAATTATAATTATTAACTATTTTAATGCTCACCGAAATTAGTACTTGATATTGAAGAAACTAGTATAAACGTGAATCAAGAAAAATAATATCGAATCAATTAAAAATAATTAAATAACAGTAAATTAATAAATTGTAAACCATCGCAAACAAATCCTTTTAGAAACTTCGAGCTTGAATGTTGAAAGTGTTGATGTTAAATGAAAATTTAAAATAAGAGATAGTTGAAGAGGCTCCACTTCTTACAGTTTACAGTTAAAGACATACTTGTCATTGCAGATTTTCGTATTATAAGTTTAAGGACCAGTTGCTCCAACTCAGTAAATGTTAGATTTAGTGTTATCTAAGATTAAACTAAGTTTAATCTTGATCAGTCGATCCTAGGCGCTTAAGCTTTACTTCAATGAAAAACTTACTTACCTAGGGTTACCTTAGGCAACTATGATAACCTTCCACGGTGTTTTTGCTGTATCGTTTGTGTTAATCATTTTTAGTTATCTTTTCTCTTGCAAAAAGGGATATGCTAGATTTTGACAACCTCACATATGACGACGATTTCCTAGTTAAACGAAAACAAACACTTGAAGACATTAAGAAGCTCACACGACAAAGAACTATAGAAAAATCTATTAGTAGCCTCCTACTTCCTTCCTATATCTTGGTTTAGATTTAACATTTTACCAACGACCGAAAATGGTGATAACAGAGCTGAGTTGTAAAAGGTAGATTAAGCTCAGATAACTGAATCTTGGTTTAAACCGTGAATTGTGCAACTGGCTCTAAGAGTAATAACATCCGTGCTGTATTAGGATATGTGTAGGAGTATAGTGTAGTAGGTTCGATAAGATAGGATTAGTCTATTCTAATCCTATCTTATCGAACCTACTGTTCTATAACATGGGTGGGGAATTGTGGCGTCAGTGAGCTAGGTGCGGCCTCAAAGATTATGAAAATTTAAAAACTAATATGATTAAGTTAGATATTTGTGTATGGATGTTGTTATTTAGTAACAAATGAAAAAAGTAATAGCAAATATTTAATACTCCATTCGTACTGGCTTAACCTTATTTGTGTCCCCTAATGTTAAAAAAGGTACCTAAAGGTATATGTACATAGAGAAGCATTAAGATGTTTATCTTATACAAATATGTGTTAATAAGTTAAGATAATTATATTATAAAATATAGGAATAATATATCATTTATCTAACTTATTTTTAATTTATGTTCCAGGTCAGTAAAAATTGTCAGGAGTAAGAACCAAGAAAGTAAATTAAAAGGTAATTTAAATTAAAGAGTATTGCTTATGTAAATCACCGTTAGTAATTTATAATCCTAAAATAAAGGAATTTGTGTTTATAAATTATAAATCACTTAAAGCATATAAATGTTCTTTTCCCTATATATATATATATATATATATATATATATATATATATATATATATATATAATATATATATATATGTGTTGATATATATATATATTATATATATATATATAGGGAAAAGAACATACTAATATTGAAAGCATGACAATAATCTTCGTTATTTTCTTATAGAATTTCATAACCATATTTCCTAGTTTCCTCTGATTGAACCCTCAAATACAAATTAAATACCATTTTTCAGTTACTTCACAATTTTTTATTTTTTTAGCTTGTTTATTGAGAAATATTACAATCTGTCAAAATTAAGGACATTTATAATATTGTTCTGAGAGCACATTAGGACTCTATGTACAATATATAAAAATAAATAATAGAGAAAAACAATAATACTAAAAGTAAATGTATATAAACTAAACTAATTAAAATAACTACCCTCATACACACATGCTCACAAAAAATTAACATTATAAAAGGTTCATATGAATAAATATTCTCAATTCTTAGAGAGATCGTCTCATTTATTGTTCTGAAACGTCATGTTTATGATAAATAACATAAAGACAAATCTGTATAAGTAAATAAAACTAAATTTAGTACATTTTTATAGTTCTTATTAGATTTTCATTGAACAATACTACATCTAAAAATACGAACCGTCTTCTTTGTTTAAATATTTAAAGAAATTGCCAGCTGTGTAACTCAATCAGTGACCTTTTACCTAGATTATCGTTATTTATTTATTATTCAGTCTATAAATTTTGATTGAATAAGTATAAAATAAACTTTATTCTGGAACTAGGTCCGTTAAGAACAACAATTATGTACAAAAAACAAAGACTATATTTGGCGAAAAATTTTAATTAAAAAAACATTAGTAAAAAATTGAACAATATTCATAATATCTTCAGCTACAATTTATAAAAGGTAAAAACATAATTGAAAAAAAACAACGGAAATCCGGAAAAATAATAAGCTGAACGTTATAAACATAATAAGTTGATTCTTAAAAAACAAACTTATAATAATTTAAGCAAGCATTCACTTCATTCGAAATTAGATTCAAAATTTTATTTCATGCTTGTATAATGTAATTTTGTACTTTAATCACGTATATAGAAATCTGTTTTGGACCAAGACCGCCTGATTATCCCAAGACAAAGATCCAGACTGGACCCTGCAAAATACAAGATACCTGCGAGACTCCTGTCTTTTCAGTTAAGTCAAGCTAAGACAGATTATTTTGAGACACAGTACAGTGATTTAAAATTTTAACCTTGCCTTACTGCAGAACCATCCGAATCCTCTCGTTTCAAACCTTGCTTCCTCCTCGATCCCTGATAACCCTCCGAGGCGTCTGAAAAGAAGATGGCCTCGGGATCTTCTAATATAGAACTATAATTTGAGTTCTACCAATATGTAGTTTCTCTTCATGTTGTACATGTCATGTTATCAATTTCACATTTACTTATTGTATTTTATATGTAATACAGTTGTAACTTCCATTAAAATAACAAAAAAAAAAAAAAAAAAAAAACCTTGCCTTAAATCTAAACAGCCTAGTTTGTGAACAGTATATTGAATTTTATATACTGATTTTAATAATTGTTCGTTTGCCTGTTTGCATTGATTTATCAAAGAAATTGTACATTAATGATTTCTATTACTGATTATCAGAAAAAATAGTCTAATTCAATTGTTTTTTTTTAATGAACATATTTAAATTTACAAAAATTGTTTAAAATCGCTAGGAAATTCGTGTGAGTGGACACACCAGAATTTTTATTTAAATGATTGGTGACAGTCATTATAGATTGCCTGAACAAATCTTCTATTCCACAGTGCGGTTCTATCATTATTTTTCTTTACAATTACTTTGATGTAGCGTCAAGGTAATTTTATTAATTTGGTAGTACTCTATGATATCCATAAAACATTTAGATGTGCGTATTCTTTGGAGTTTTTCCTAAGATCTAAAGTAACATATATAATAAATAGCAAGACCAATTAAATTAATTAAATAACTACCAAACTCTTGAAAGACCTAGACTAAGACCAAGACTATCTTGGTCTTGCATTCGGGCAACACTAATTGTAATATTAGAAGTAGTCTCTATAAAAGTTTTTTTTTTCTTTATTTGTGTTTTTTTATTCTAAACTGTTGTATTTTACATTACTTTTTTGTTATAACTCAACCGAGATAACTTATTTAAACGTGTTAAGATAAACAGTCTTTAAATGATGTATCATGCTCATATCCAGTTGTAATTAATTGTATATAGTGCTTGAAACTAGGATTTATTTTTAAAAGTAAATTTTAAATAAAACTTTACTATTGAATGTTTTTGTAACAGTGATTTTAAATGCGGGCTCATAATGTTTATTTCACTTTTGATTTTATCCTTCCTTTATTCTCGAAACATACTTTTATTCTTTTCTTTTGTGAGTACTTTTTTTAGAGGAAAATCTGACGAAAACCTCCGCTCTAAGTGTTTACTCAGGTGTCGAGTTTGTTACAAAAGTTTTCAAACTTCTTTTGAAATTTTAATAAACTTACAAGAAAAATAATCTCCTTCTTCGGAAGGGAAAACTAAGTTTGTTTTTATAAGATTTTATTCGATAGAAATCAGATGGATTGGAAGAAATATTTGGTTACGACAATTATAGAGAATAAATAAAAAATTAATAATCCATCCAAATCAAGTAAACTTAATTTTACTATTAATTATTGCTTCATTAAACGTAATTTATGTCTATTATTTATTAAACTATTTGTATGGATCAATATTTTAAAATGTCCAATTAATTAATCTTATTTTACTAAGAATTATGTAATAATATAAATTAATAATTTAAGTTAAAATTCATTTAAATCAATTGGTTTCGTTCCTAGTTAACATTTTTAATATCACAATATAATAAAATTTTTATAAAACAAAAAGCTAATAAAATATAAAGTTATTAACTACATTATTTTTTTTTAAAAAGAAAAGAAACATAACATCAAGAGTCTACAACTGAATTCAGTAGTAACAATAAAAATCTCTATGAACCAAGTCGCTAGATAACTGTATGATTATATTTATAATTAAATCGATGAAAAAAAAATCATACAAGTATACAAGATAATTTTAAAATCATGTATACAGCCAAGTATAAAAATCAAGTACCAAACTTTGTATTTTTTTATTTATATAAAAAACATATTGAAATGTTTTGAAGTATAATACTTGAAGCATCTTTTTGTGTTTATTATTTATGATACATTATACCTCTTTTAATACGGTGGGCGATAATTTTTTGTTATTCTTTACAAAAAAGAAATCGACTAGTATATAACCTAGAAGTTCGGACAAAGCAAAGGAACATAAAAGCAAAAATATTGAATATTTAATAGTTGACCGTTGCATTATAAAGGAAAGAGATGGTCCGGGGTGGCGGTCATGAATA